TTAGTTATTAGTTATTAGTATTAGTATAGTATATATATATATATATATATATATATATATATATATAAATATATATATACATGTATATATGTTTTTTATGTGTGGGTACAAGGCTTCAGGATTTTGGGGTTTACCCTAGAGGCATATTGCCATACAATTCATACCAGCAACTATTATCCACACACACGCCCGTTGTACCGTACAGCGAGTGCCATACGAGTACGCATACAAGGCCCATTTCTACCTACACCACGTGACGACGAGTATAGTCAACGGCAAATACAAGACCCCAGAGATGCAGTGGGTAGATAACCTGGTCGCCAAATATAGCAAGTACTTATGGGCGGGGATTTTCAAGGACAGTGCACCACTGTTCTGGTTCGGAATCAAGGAGGTATGTCTAGCGCGCATATACTGTGGTGATCTGTTACATCTGTGTACGGTATGGGTTATAGCAAGTATGTTGAACGGAAACGCATTGTAGGGGCTTGTTCCATGTTGGTACGGGGCATAGGAGGCATGTCGGATTGTACCACACATGAAGTAGTTAGGGTCTACAAAACCACCATGCCTACTTCAATTCGACCCGTCCTAGATCGAGTTCATCGAGTCTTTACAATACCGCTGCGTGTATTTAGTTGCCCTTCATTACACCCCCTCCCCCGCCCCTATCAACAACGACAACAAAAACAACCCTTGCGCGCCTTGTAGCAAGCGTCTGTTTTGAACGAGAAGGTGCTGTCTATGAACCGGGCCGCTCTGGCTTTCAAAGAGAATACCTCGGGCGATGTGATTAGTTCGCCTGCCGGTCTGCAGATCAGAACCAGAAGACTCGTATCTACGCTGCCGAAGCCGTCGCCCAGGCCAAAGTCATCGCTGGTGGTGGGTGTGTTGAATCTCAAGAGCACACCGCAGGAGAACACGAAGAACTTGCGTAAGAAAGGTAACTTTACATATGCGTGTGGGTCTGGGTCTGGGTCTGGATGTGGGTGTGTGAAGGGGTTGTATAAGGGTATGGGTGGGTCGGTACGAGAACTTGTGTTCGTGTTAGTGGGCTTCGAAAGGTATCTACAATGCTTAGTGAAGTGCGTGTTCTATGCCTACGTATGCTGCTGGGCGAATCGGTTTGTGTATTGTGGGTCAAAGCACGTACTAGAGCTAAATACTTTGGACACATGTCACAAACCTTAACGTGAATGTGAACTATGTTTTGGTTGTCCATCCGGGCCAACAACGACACACGTGCACAAACCACTTAACGTATACACGCCTCCTCTTACCAATACTCATGCTATATTGTACATGCCAACAACAAGGCTCTCATGCTCGCAGATTTCTATCATATGCACGCTTGCATGTTTAGATACTACACCTATCATGCTACCGTATTTACCAACAATGTTATCGTACACGCATGCACAGCGTACGGTCGTATACACACTTGCCCGTTCAATACTATACCCACCGTGCTGTGGTTCGTAGTAGCCTGAGTGCACACATCTGCACGTTTCACGACCATTTAAACGCTCGTACGTATTGTTGCTTCTCCTGCTGTGCGGCTGTACGTATGAGTGGGAATACACACGTTTGCACGTTTTATTAACGTTCACCCGCTTGCACGTGCCCATGCGCAGATGGATCGAAAAGTGAGAGCAACTCGCCAGCCTCGTCGCCTAAAGGGCTGTCGGAATTCGACGTCGACGGGCCGTCAGAAGCGCCGCATCCGAAGAACCAACGACCTTCCTCACAGATCTACTCTAGCAGCGTGCATTCACACAGCAAAGGCTCAGGTAGGGTTTTAGGGTTTAGGGTAGGTATCTGGAACTTAGTTAGCCATTGTAGGGTGATGGCATACAATTAACGGTGCATGTTTTGGGCATATAATAGCTGACAATGCTTTTGTTAACTATTTGGCCCCGTGAGCAGTTTAAATGAAGGGTTTCTGTCTTTGTGTTAATTTCTGAGCGATAAAGACAGCGTGGCCGCCGAGATCCGATGTCTATAGTACCCACACCGAGAATATGGACTGATACTGAAGCGCAGATTCGGTTATTCTTTTCCAGTTTATTGGCGATGCTAGATTGTTATCAGTGAACGTTTCCTGTGGCGTTAACGTGCCCAGTGACTGCTCGGATTGAGCTGTGCAGTTGGATTGTTGGGCTGTAGTGCGCTGCGTCTCTTTGCACAGATGTGGCCCCTTTTAGTGCCGTGTATCATACCTAAACGGTACACGTCTAGATGGTCTGGGGGAATTACGAGAATATTCCTATTTACCACATAAAATTCACCTGATATATATATATATATACATATATATATATATATATATAATAGTTCGTTGATAACGCACACCATGACCTGCGCTTCTGGAAAGGTCACCCTTCCGGCTCTGCGTATTCCCGTTGAAATGAATTTTTGTACCTGCATCCTAATTCTCATAACCTATATTCATTCCCCAGGCGACTATTACAAACCACCTGGCGATTCAATGAAGAGTACACCACAGCAGTCCAATAGGTGAGTATATGGTGTAAGAGTGTTGTTTGACCCGCGCGTCCACACAATAATACATACTTGATCATGTGCATGTGGACCTTTGTGCTCTTTCAATCGCTTCCTCTCTGTGCCGCTCACTTTTGTTTGTGTTAAATGATTAAGCCTGATCTGACTGGAAGAAATGTTGAGCATTATTTATTCCAATTCACTTCGTCGGGTTATCAATGCGAGGTGTTCGATCACAACCCATATCTCTATTGCCTGCGGCTAGAAAACTCGCATGTCCGCGCTATATGTTGACACTCTAGTACTCACTGCTCTGTTCCGTTCCAAAATGGTCATCGCTTTTTTCTAGGGTTGGGTTCATCGCCACTGCGGTAACCCAACCGTATTTGTATGTGGGAATAGTCTCATTCGCATTTGCGTTGAGAAACAATCTCATCCATCCCATCCACTTATATCCCGTAGACGAGCCCGCATCTGGGCTTGACGCCTCATTCCTGCCCAAATTTTAATGCCAACTCTCATACCCTACTTGCCTTCGTACTGAATTCAATTCAGTATTATTTACCCAGTTACTCAGTCCCCTGATATCTTCAAATTTTTCATCTCATCCCACTCCACTTATACGCAACACCCCTACAGACGACAGGACAAACCGTACCGCCCCGGACAATTCTCGCGCAACCAGAAGTACTCTCTGTCCTCCGATGTGCTAACACATTCCGCGGGCATGGGGATGGCTTCAACTTCAAACAATGCTAGCACTAATGCGGTGGGGAGTCATTCGCACGCCCTCGCACGCAGAAAGAGCTCAATGTCCAACTCACAGTCACAAATGCCTATGCCCGGCAACGGTGCCAGTGGAGGGCAAGGCGGGGGCGGGTTGACATCGAACAATGCCAACAACATCCCGTACAATATGAGAAGTCCCGCTCCCAATCGGCTGAGTAAGCAAGGCATGGGTATGGGCATGAGCAGTCCTAATCTACAGCATACCATGAGAGATATGGGTGTCGGCGACGCGAAGGGGAAGCAATCATCACGAGACAGGGCTAGCAGCACGAGCTCGGGAAATGGGGCGAGGGATAATGGAGGAATAAATAACATTCCCACATCAAACCTCGTGGCCATGTCGCCTCACATACATTCGCGAGATGTCAAGCAAGCCATTGCGCATTTCAATCAGTACACATCTGCCACTGCGTACGCGGGAGGGGAGGGAGGGGGCGGCAGTAGGGGCTCGGGTCTCCAGAGCAATATCCCTATCAACCCTGGTAATAACAACAACCCGTTTGAACCGGCTAATTCAACGGGCAGTAACATGAATGATCTCAACAACAGGACAGGGAACGCTGCAAGTAGAGTGGGCTCGGGGGAGGGCCATTCGGACGGGGGTTACTTTAGTAGTCACGGCCAAAGTAAACCTATAAATTTGGCTCGCAGGCGTACGTTATCCGGGAATCAACAATCCCAGCCGCAACGGAGATCGTACGTACCCCCCTTGGGCATGGCCGAGAATCAGCAGCAGCACATGGCCCCGTCGCAAACGCATCAGAATTTAGTTATGGAAGTACAACAACACATTGTTGGCAAGACCGCGAGCGCGGACGACAGTAACCGGTAAATAGGGCCTAGAGCCGCACCCTCTGCGCATCTAAAACCACAACACCTCAAAATATTAAACTCCTAAATTATATATCGCAGTGACTGGAATGAGATTTTAAAAAATGAGTAAGGTACCGTTGCCAACCCGCTCCGCCATGCATGTGGTGTGGTTCTCGTGCGCTACTCTTACATCAATTGAGAGCGTCAGTCGTATTTGTCTAAATTTACATTCTTCGTAGATTCAGACTATTTCCATTATA